ATCACGTCATTTTTAGCTTATAAAATGATGTTTGATACTTAACGTTTTCTTGACAGATACAAAAAGAATTTTAAAATTTATTCCATAATTTTCTCGTATATTTTTTGTTCTTTTTTCAGAAACATATTAACATGCTTACAGATAAATAATACCAAAATTATACATGTATATATTCTAGTAGAACTACCTAATGTGGCGCCAGCTTTGTTTTTGATAATAACATATTTGAGGAATAAGATGTACATGTAGGTTAGTGGCTATACGCCAGAACAAATTTCCGATCGATTCCGCTTCCTGGTCCTGGGAAAGATTCGAACCCATCTTCCTAGTATGGATCAAATAACAGGACAGCTTCATCTGTTTGTTTTGAGTGTCAACCAGTCTAAGTGAAACTCTTTATTGAAAGACAGTTTGAAGAAAATGTGTTAAGATCTCTTTCTCAAGATACGTCAATGCTGTTTTATCTACAGTAAAAGCGAAGGCCTTACTACAGCACTGAGTTTCGGGCAAGTTAAGTGACAACATGAGCAATGTGCAAATATATAATTTTACAATTGTTGTTGTAGACTTAAGTAAAAGCAAAGAAACAAACGAAACATTGAAATCTGAGATAAAAATATTTCATGATTTTTCTGTCTCAATGTCAAGCGATATATTTCCAACAGCCCTTATAAACTCAAAGTTTGTGAGTAGGGGTCACGAATACCCCGACTGCATCATACAGAGAGATACGATCGAGACAAAAAGGAGCCACCGGTTCGCAATTACTTTGTCTACGTTTTTGTTTTACTTTCGTGCAAACAGTACATCTATGTCTATCGTCTTGATTCTCGTGTGAACCATATATATATATGTACCTTTTTACTTCTTTTGCAAACCGGATCTAGGTCAAATTTTTTTACACTCGTGCAAATCAAACCTAGTCATTGTTTTTGATCCTCGTGTAAGGCAAACCTATGCAAATCATATACATATAATAATAATCGACTCTCCCGTCGAGATTCAACGTATGAGGGTCAAGCAGACCAGTTTCCAGGAAACCGACAGCCCGACACCGGCACAGGAGTTTTGATTATAGTGGTGAAGGCCTCGTGCAGGACCATCCACACTTTTTGAAGGGACGAATACAGAGACCTGGCGCACCGAGTGCCACAAGGTTCCCAAACGACCCTCCGCAGGTTTTGAAATCAGAGTTGTTCTTCTCCTAGACCAGTTGTCATCCAAGGCTATAGAACCCTGTCTGTCCTGCTATTTTACCCATACCTGGAGGGAGAGGAAGAGGACACATACCTTTCCCAAGGGTATTAGCACGTAAGTTAATGTAATGGATTCGACAGGAATTCGGACTGCGATTCCTCAATCCAAGTCGCTATACATTACTCCACCACGCCTCCTATATATATATATATATATATATATATATATATATATATATATATATATATATATATATATCTTGCTGTTCTTTGTCGAAATAACAAATTGTGGCAATTATGTGTAAAATGTTGATAAGCTAAAAAAAAAAAAAAAAAACCGTATAAATATGGCTAAAAAAAGCCGAATATTTAAAAATAGCTGCTACTTTATTCACGATTTTAGACTTTAAACGTCTGCTGGATTTGAAATTAGAAAATTCCAAGTAGAACGCTGTTTTTTATTTATTAGTTCGTATACAGCGTTTTGCATCTATAGTTTTTCGATAAAGATTACTTTTTTTGCCAAAATGCAACGCGCTTTCCTTAAACTAGAGTTTATTCACTCATTCTGATCTGAAAACAACCTAATATAAAAAGGTAAAATTCGTAGCCTGAATTGATTTGTCACAATTGATTTATCTATCTATCTATCTATCTATCTATCTATCTATAAATGTATATATTTATTTATTATAATTTTATTATATAGACAAACCATTTTAATCACTACAAAGATGCAACTTCGTTTCAGTGCATTTCAACTGCATTTCAACGCGTGAGAATCGAAAATGGTTATGAGCAATCCTGCTTGTAGACGAGCCGTATGTGTAACGTTTTTCCATTGTAACCTTTTTCTAACGTAACCTTTTTTTAACGTAACTTTTTTCCATTGGTTTGAGAAGAAAAAATTACATAAAGCAAAAAAGGTGACGCAGTGACTTTTTATAGTAAACCAAAAATAACATTCCTAATTACTACTAAAACTATCGCTAGAATTTCACCTAATCCAACGTATTCCCTATTTCCACCTTTCCTCTTCTACCTCTTACTCTTAAGGCGCTTGTGAGATGATGTGCCTAAACTTTTCACCGGTGTTTATCGGGAAGAAAAAATCTACACAGACCAGTCAACATTTAACACCCCATCCATTCTTCACTAAACTGCTGTCAACAAGCACAATTGTTTCACTACGGCCCCTTTTTTGCTTTATGTATATTTTTTCTTCTCTAACTAATGGAAAAAGGAGCTTGCCTACAATCAGGATTCTCAACCGTCGAAGTGGAGTTAAAATGCATTGAAACGAAGTTGCATCTTTGTAGTGAGTAAAATGGTTTTGCCTATATGATAAAATTATAATAGATAAATAATTATCGCTCTACTATCGATATCGAGCCCCCTTTTGGATTAATGTTGTAAACGTTGGAATTTATATATTACTTTCGTCCTCATCGCATCGGATATATATATATATATATATATATATATATATATATATATATATATGTGTGTGTGTGAAAAGTTCTTAAAATAATGCTGAAACATGAGAACTCTTATGTAGTGATGGAATCATATTTTTAATAAATAATTATATATATATATGTGTATGTTAAAATGATACTGTTAACTCTTGACTTTAAATAAGCAAATAAAATAAATAAATAAACAATACTAAATAAAATAAAATATAAATTAATAATCATTAATACAAAATAATAAAAAAAAAACATATTAATTCAATTTCGTTTAATATGCTGAAAAATAATGGCACTAATCGACTTCCATGGTTTATCTTTTTTTTTTACTCACTAAGATTTGAGAATATTATCGAACATTCTCTAAATTAAGATTTAAACACCTAACGATATTTTTCTTCGCATTACTTTAGAAGGAAATGACTTCTCCGGCTGTCAAACATTAAAAAGTCGTTTGTGAATATTTCCAATATTGCAATGATTTTACTTTCGGGAAGTTGAAGTTAGAGGCAAGGGAGTGAGAACAGCACCCTTATGAAAATTAATTGAAAAAAAAAACTAATAATCCCGTTATTATTTTCTTTTTCATATTTTTCAATGAAACATGACCCAGTGCACATGTTAGTACTCGGTATGTTTGCCTTAATTTTTAGAAGCTATCCCATGTGATTTTGGCATGGAATCCACTAATTTGGAATAGTACTAATTGATTTTGGGTTTAGAGTATCAAAAAATTATAATGACCGTCAATTACTTCTCTTCCGTCATACAGTCCGTTACAATTATTCCTTGAAGTAACGTCCATTGCAGACAATTGCTCTAGGACAACTAATCGACAGTCGAGACAATAGCGACTGAGTGTCATAAAAATCAGATGCAATCACGGATGACGCAATATTTTTCAAGGCCAAACAAATTTCATCATACACCTCGGAAATAGATTCATATTACTGCACACCACTGCAAATGACCTTATCTGAGAAAAAAACTCGATTATGCCATGTCACTCCAGTGGGTTTAAAACTGACTGTATTGTGAAAGAAAGGAAACTAAAGCGGTTGCTTCAATTAATTTGAACAAGGGTGTATCTAAACCCTTAGATAAAATGAAGAGTTCAGTTCAAAATTCCCTAGTAGTAGGTAACAGGGATTGACATAAACCTAATGAAGGTCGAAGAGCAAAACGACAGAAACGTGATAAGATAATCTGTAATTAAAGAGCGTGAATATCTGACTTTCTCAGTCTTTTTGTGGGTTGGATTTGGCTACACATATTATGGCCCGCGGCATACACCTCAAACATTAACGTTTGTATTCCAATATGCCTGATATTATCTTATTCTATCCCCGTATCTAAGAAAGTTGCGCATGTCTGTTTGAAATTGGTCATAAGTGAGAATCTTTGGTACTCTTTCATCATTCATCCTAACATGGCCAGTTCATCTCAATTTAGAATGTATCAAGATGGCCTCTATCCTGTGTATATCACATTTATCAAACAAATGCTCATTTGAAAGATTATGACTGAGCGTGGAATTAATTGATTTGAACACTGGCTTCGGCATATCGAATGGCCTTCCAAACAAGATTTACAATTGACAGTTTCTTAAATAAATATATGTTCGCCTGAACAAGCTAAAAGCCTACATCATTAACCTGTAAACATATCAAAATGACGAATTTATTTCCTATTCTCTTTTTTTCGCACTATACTTTAATAATCTGGTTTTTAAAGAATCATTTCAGAAATTTTCTCTTAAGCAGTGCACACAGGTTTGTCACAACGGAATTAAAAATCAGCCAATCATTGTTTTTGCTGTAAATCTGAAGCGAATTTAATTAATGTCGCGCTTATATTGACGCGAAAGAAAGAAAAAAAAAACGCGCCAATTCTGCGGCTATTTGGAAAGCTAATTTGCTGTTTAGAAGAGACGATATCATTGAAATTAGTGCCCAATGTCGCCCGTTATGTAAATTATTTTTCACTTGCATCTCGTAAAAAGGCTTATTACGGAAATGGCTTTCGCCTCGGCCTCTGCTCGTTTTCATTAACCCCTAATAGCGACTTTAGTTCAATGTTAAGCGAGCATGAATTTACATCAGTGATTTGACAAATCTAAACAGGTTTCTGCATTTTACCACGTGAATTTATTAATGGCTTCTGTCTTGGATTATATTATCGATTTCTTTAGAAATAATCGATATATTTTCATCTATATTATTCCTAATCTGACAGTTGCATTATGCTTCCTTTCTTTCGTTCATTTTCATTCTTTAACTTTATTTATCTTGTCATAATTTCTTTCATTTCACTTTGATCTTTTTCCTTTTTGATGGCTTCTTTTTTATTCATTACTTTCTTTCTTCTTTTTTCTTTCATTCTTTTTTCTTTCTTTTTTATTTTCTTCTTTTTTCATGTTTTTCTTTCTTTGTTTTTCTTTGTCTCTTTTTCTTCTATTCTTTTTCTTTCATTCTTTTTCTTTTTCTCTTTTTCTTCCGTTTTATTTCATATTTTCTTTCTTTTTTCTTTCATTCTTTTTTCTTTATTTATTTTTTCTTTTTCTCTTTTTTCTTTCTTTATTCTTTTATTTTTTATTCTTTCTTCTTTCTTCCTTTTCGTTTCATTTTTCTTTTTCTTCATTCTTTTTCTTTCAAGCGTTTTCTTTCTTTCTTTTTTTCTTTTTATTTCATGTTTTTCTTTCTTTTGTCTTTCGTTCTTTTTTCTTTTTCTTTCTTTTTCTTTCATTTTTTTATCTCTTGTTCTTTTATGTTTTTTCTTTCATTCTTTTTCTCTCATTCTTTTTCCTTTCATTCTTTTACTTTTTTTTCTATTTTCTTTTACTCGTTTTTCTTTCATTCTTTTTATTTGTGTTTCCCTTTCGAATTCATTCATGTGTTCATTTTTTTCAACTTTAATTTCTTGAGTTCTTTCTTTTTTTTAATTCTTTTCAGTGTTTTCTTTATTTAATTCAGTTCCTTTTTCATTTTGGCTGTCTTTTTTAAATTTTATCTTCTTTCCAACCGGATTTCTTTCTTTCTTTCTTTCTTTATTTCTTGCATGCTTGTTTTCTAATTTCTTTCTACCTGTATTATCTAATTTCTAATTCACTTGTTTATTTCTTTGTTTCTAATTTCTTAATTACATAAAATTGTATTATTCCCATAAACATATTGGGTCAATAAATATGTGTATCATATTTATCGTACACCTGTCATGAGTGCAATTATTTACATTTTATCAGTTCATTGAAGGGGAAAAAACTTTTAAATATCATTGCAGTTAAATCTTGCATTTAAGTGAGAGCATTTATAAGCAATCGTCACATGCATTAACAGGATTAACTTTCTGCAATTTATGTTTCAGAACTTACAATCAAATAAAAATACTATGTTCAAAATTCATGGCCTATGAATTTTGTAACAAAAAGAAATGTCTTCCAAATCTGATTGTAAAAAAAAGGAAAAAAAAAGAATACCACCATTAATTTAGGAAGGCACTGGAATAAATGTAACCAGAACCAATAACTTCTTTTGCTATATCTTGTAGAGAGACTATATAAGAAAATGCGTCTTCATGAAACTATTTTTATAATGGATCCTCATCTCACTTAGATATTTGAAAATGAATATATAGATCATGTCTCATTCTGAAAGAATGTAATATTGTCAGATTAGACAATATCTAGAACTTTTGGATAATAACGACGAGGGATATTTCGAAGACGTCAAAGTAAGGATACCAATCGAAGATTTCAAGGTAAGGATACCAATCGAAGACGTCAAGGTAAGGATACCAATCGAAGATTTCAAGGTAAAGTTACCAATCGAAGACGTCAAGGTAAGGATACCAATCGAAGATTTCAAGGTAAGGATACCAATCGAAGACGTCATGGTAAGGATACCAAAATAAGATGTCAAGGTTAGGATACGAATCGAAGACTTCAAGGTAAGGATACCAATCGAAGATTTCAAGGTAAGGATACCAATCGAAGACTTCAAGGTAAGGATACCAATCGAAGATGTCAAGGTAAAGATACCAATCGAAGACGTCATGGTAAGGATACAAATCGAAGACGTCATGGTAAGGATACCAATGGAAGATGTCAAGGTAAGGATACCAATGGAAGATGTCAAGGTATGGATACCAATCGAAGACTTCAAGGTAAGGACCCAATCGAAGATGTCAAGGTAAGGATACCAATCGAAGACTTCAAGGTAAAGATACCAATCGAAGATGTCAAGGTATGGATACCAATCGAAGATTTCAAGTTAAGGATGCCAATCGAAGACGTCAAGGTAAGGATGCCAATCGAAGATGTCAAGGTAAGGATACCAATCGAAGACTTCAAGGTAAGGATACCAATCGAAGACGTCAAGGTAAAGATACCAATCGAAGACGTCAAGGTAAGGATACCAATCGAAGACTTCAAGGTAAGGATACCAATCGAAGACGTCAAGGTAAAGATACCAATCGAAGACGTCAAGGTAAGGATACCAATCGAAGACTTCAAGGTAAGGATACCAATCGAAGACTTCAAGGTAAGGATACCAATCGAAGACGTCAAGGTAAAGATACCAATCGAAGACGTCAAGGTAAGGATACCAATCGAAGATTTCAAGGTAAAGATACCAATCGAAGATGTCAAGGTATGGATGACAATCGAAGCAAACCGCCAACATTCCCTCTGTATTACATAGGTAAGAAGCAAGTTCCATTCAAACATCTTATTCCCCTAAACTACTGCTTTATGGAACAGATTTCTCAGAGGATGTTTCCTGTTCAATTATTGAGTCTACCGTTATATTCCCCTCCTATCCATATAAACTACCCTTCTCGCAACTTTCTATATTGAGTTTCTCTCGAGCCTTGTTCAGGGTGAACCTTAATGTCAAAACAACAACAGAATAACAACAACGACAAGAATAATGCGGATGAGGATGAAGAGGTGGAGGCCTGCGACTAGATTGAAGATGATGATGATGATAATGATAATGAAGATAGTTTTTAGACGAATGGTGAAGAAATCTTTTTAAAAGAGTTGTGTTATTTATTTTGTTAGGGAAATGTCGAGTTTAACGGTAGAAAACGTTTATTTATTTCTTACAAGGATTTTCGCCATGTAAAGGCCGAGGGTCGCTTGAAGTAAAGGGGTACAGAATAAGAAACATGCGTTATGTGGATATGTGTAAACGATGAGAGTTAAACCGTGACCTGAACAGATTAACTGTGTCGTGATTAAAGAAGCTTCCTCTTTGGAGTCTGTTCCACAAAGCAGCTGTTCGTACATATATATTTATATATATACACTGCGTGCCAAATTATTATCGAGATAACTTTTTTCTAATGTATCAAAAACCGTCCAATTAATTCAACACGGACCTGCGCAATCATTGAAATTTTCGTATTGATCTGCGCAATATAAACAAACTGACGCCATATTTGTTATCAGCACGGTGATTTGAGAGTGCCAAATTATTAGAAAGATTTAGTAAAATTCCGAGAATTGAGCAAACAAAACGTTTATTAATGTTGCACGTGAATGTTTTTGATCAAAAGAACCTAATAAATAAGATAATCAAACAAATAATAACAGATACAAACAAAGGCACAGTTTTAAACAAATTAATAGGGAATGTGCGTTCCCTGTTTTGAAATTACTTGAAGTAGTCGACGATCCATAGAATTTGTTAATTGCAGGATGTCATCCGCTGTAATGCCGCGAGATATGTCAAGAAATGCTTCCCACAACTCAGCGTTGCTCCTGAATTATCGTCCGTTGGCGTACAGTCTTCACTTCATGATGCTCCAAAAGTTTTCGATTGAGTTCAAATCCGGAGAATTTGCTGGCCAGTTCATTTTTCGAGATCCATCGAAGCCTAACTGTTTCAAATATTCAGTAGTCTTGTGAGCAGCATGTGAGGGAGCATTATCTTGCATAAAAACAATTGAAGGTAACTCTTTGCCTTTTCATCCAAAGTTCAAGATGCTCCTTCATAAACGCTATGTATGCATCAGCAGTCATTTTAACGCCACCTGGTATTCTCCCTGGGCCCACTAATTTTTTTCCAATAATACCACTCCAGATCATTATGCCTCCACTGCCTTGTTGGCGTCTCAAACGCTGATGATGATTCTGTCCGTTCATTACCCAGCCTTTGCACCATCTATCTGGCCCATCAAGTGTTGCTCGAGTTTCGTCTGCGAACAAAACTTTAGAGAAGTCAATCTTCATATTGTCCTCGGCCCATTTCAATCGATTTTGAATGTGATTTCTCCTCAACGGAGGCTTCGATACAGGTTTGACTGTTGCTGCTATTTCCCTCAGATACCGACACGGAGTACTTTTAGACACAGTAGGGTCCCCAATGCGACTGAAAAGCTCTTCACTGGTAAGTCCAGGGTCTTTTGTGGTCTCTCGTTTAAGTCGTGATATAAGAAGACGTGAAATAACCATCGGCTTGCCTTTATCTGCCCTTTTGCGTGCTTGTGTAGGGTCAGCGGTGAACGTTTTCACTGTTTGATGACACCTCCCTATCATTTTAGAAATTTCTAGAGTAGATTTACCTTTTGAGAGTTCTGAGGCGTTAGTTTTCTTTTCAGCATCACTTAAACTGCTTTTACGGCCAATCTATTCACTAAATTCTTACACTTTTCTAATAATTTGGCACGCTCAGATCACCGTGCTGATAACAAATAGGGCACCAGTTTGTTTACATTGCGCAGATGAAAATTTCAGGGCTAGCGCAGGTAAGTGTTGCCAACATTGTGTGAAAATTCTGTGTGAATTTATTGGACGGTTTTTTTAAAATATTAGAAAAAAAAGTTATCTCGATAATAATTTGGCACGCAGTATATATATATATATATATATATATATATATATATATATATATATATATATATATATATATGAGTTGGGATCAAATAGAGATTAAATATAGATAGGAATCCGACATAATGACAAGATTAATAATAAATAGAAATCGTTTACCTGTCTAAAATGAAGAAAGAATGTATATTAAAAGAGGAAGTGGAAATTAAACATGATAGATTGATAAACATTTATTATCATTTATATATATATACATATATATATATATATATATAGTAATGGTAAAATAAATATAGATATATAAAAATATTAAAACTGATCCACAAAAGTGAGCTCGATGTATTTTATTTATACAGAGAAATATGAATGAATACTCCCCACCCACTCAAAAAAAATTACCTCGTGTGGGAAATAGAGTATTTCGGCAGACGATAAAAGGGGCGTCTGTTTTTTCAACCCAGATTCATTCAAACTTCGGGTTGAAGAGACAGTCGGCCAATTTCATCGTCTGCTAAAATAGATTATTCCCCACATGAATTAAAAATGTATTTTTGTTTATTCATTCATATATATATATATATATATATATATATATATATATATGTGTTGTGTGTGTATGCGTTTGTGTGTGCGCGCGTGTGTGTATCTATCTATCTATCTATCTATCTATCTATCTATCTATCTATCTATCTATCTATCCACACACACACACACACATATATATATATATATATATATATATATATATATATATATATAGTACGAGGTAGAAAATGGACGCTACCATATTAATGATGATGAACAAAATATTAAACCTATTCCATTTGTATTGACATTTCAGATTCCTAAGCCTTGTTCGAACTTCGAGAAAGATCAAGTCGCCGTTTTTTCAGCGAATAGATCGGTAGTTGATAAGATTAATCAAAGTGAGTCATGTGTCCGTAAGTTAATCAAAAAGAGAAATTAAACTGAAACATTTAATAGACGTAGCGCATCTGGCCGTCCTCTAAAAACTATTGACAGGGAAGATAAAAACTTGGTTCGTCAATGCAAGAAAGATGGTTTCGTAACAGCAGAAGATGTTTCCAAAG